TTCTTGCTCATGTTTTATTTGAATGTCATTCATTTTATCTTTAAGATCGTTGTTAAGCTCATTAATCCTATCTTCGTACATATTTTTTATATCTAAAAGTTCAACTTTCTTTTCACTTGTTAGTTGTTCAATTTGAGATTTGTATTGATCATGGATGATTCGTATTTCATTTACATGCAAGTCATTTGCGTTATTATGCCTTGAATTTAATAGTTCTATGTCATTCAACAAATTCTGATTAGTTTCTTTCAACAAATTATTTTCTTGTTCATAATCTTTATCTCTTTTTGACAATTCAAATGATTCAGAATATTTCAAATTTTCGGCATCCCCTTGCAGTAATTTCTTCTCTTCTTCAAACCGTGCTAACAAATCTTTTCTTTTTTCTTCTTCTTCCTCCCTTATGATTTTCACTTCCTCTTCTAGCTCTGCATTCATTCGTTCAATAGTATCTTCAAACTCCTTCAACTTTTTATCAGCAGCTTTCTCCATTAACGCGCATTTATTTCGCAAGCAGTCGATTTCTTTACTTATGCTTGAAATATTTTCAAGGTGATCATCGCTTAGTGAACTGATGCATATTTCAGAAATCATTTCAGCCACAAATTCTTTGCTCTTATCAAGCGTTTTCTCGCTGATGCATAATTTTTCAAAAGTAGTTGAATACAGTGTCTCTAGTTCAACAGCTTTCGTTGTTTTTTGCCGCAACTGAACATTTAGATCTTCAATAATTTGAGATAGTTGAGACTTTGAAGCTTCATTTTCAGCTATTAATATATCCTGTTTACTAAGGTTCAATTCCAGATCTCTAATAAATTCTTTCTTCAAGTTTAATTCTGTGTGAACGTCATCGTACTTGGTTTGCAGAGCTTTAAATTCAATGAATGTAGAATTTAGTTTTTCATTATTCTTCATTATTTCAGATAATTTGATTTTTAAATTATCAATTTCTAAATTTTTTTCAGTCAAGTTTGCTTTGAAATTTTCAATATCTGAAACATAATCAGATAACTTTGCATTCAACTTTTCTATTTCAATTTTCTTTTCATTTACTACGGCTGATAAATTTTCAACTTCAGAATTTTGTTCAAAACATGCTTTACATTCAACTGCCAGAATATCGTTTACAGAATCAACCATCTTTTCAGTCGCAATCATTTCATCTACTGATGACTCATTATTCTCTAATGAACTATTCTCAAGTTTAACTTTGTAATTAAATATCGACATATTACTTAAAACACTTGATTTTTTGACTAAACCATTTGACTCTAATATTTCTAGTAAAGCTATGACAACAGATTGTTTGGATTTGTGTCCATCATTTGCACTAGTGACAACTTTCGTTTGATCAATCATCATGTCCATTTTTACGATAATATCATCTCTTAGTTTGAGTTCATCCATCAGTTCAGTAATTTTTTCTTTTAATGTGTTTCTTTCCACATCTGCAAGCTCCATTTTTTCCTTCAATCAAATTAAATCACAAAATAATTATTTAGGCGACTTGAATGAAAATTAAATTTTTTGCTTTTTGTATATATTGTGTAAAAAAGTTTCTTAATTGACATTGGCAGCAAAGCTCTTAAAGGAGTTCAAGAAAAGTATTAAAATGACAAACGTACAATACTCTTTACAAAAACTTTTGTTGTCCAAGTGAATGTTTAAATTGAAATATAAAAAATTATTTTTTTATGATTTAAAACTAAATTATGTTTACAAGCCACATAAAATAGCCCCTGGCAAGCCACAGTTTATCCACCCATGATATATAATATGTATATATATGTGAAAAGTTATCTGAAGAGAAGCCGCCTCTTGAAAAGATATCCCACTTTAAATGGTTAGTAAAGGAGAGAAACAAAACAAATGATGAATTGTTGGTTCAATCAACATAATCAAACGACTGGGAAATCTAACAATTTTTAGAAAAGAATTTCTTAACTACTGCAATTGACGAGAAAAGAAAAGTCTGAGTGGCCAAATAAATATAAGCAAACTTTTTAATATTAAACTAAAAATTTTAATAAGAAATTCAAACAAGTTCAAATATACTAACAGTATCATTAAATTCTAACAGGCCATCAAATTGCTGCTTCAAATTGTGGTGCCTGGCAAATGAATACAATTTCAAGTCTTTTCCTCATAACGCATTATTCGAATTAATTATAAATATTTCTATTGTGCTGTTTTATAAATTATTACCTTCATTGAAAAAATTATTTCAAATGTCTATTTGGTCCCCATATCATTAAATTCTTTTTCAATTCATTGTCAGATCGAATTAATTTCAATTGAGTTGAGAAAATATTAAAATAAAATTAATGCATGGGTAAAAATTTTTATAAGAAATTTTACAGCAGTGTAAGTCGGAGTTGGAATTTGGCTGATTCGTTGGTATAAAAGAATTACTGTTTTTGTGGGATTTTATATTTTAATTAAAGTAGCCATGAAATATTTGCGCTTTTGAGTAAAGAAGTTTCCCCATTCATAATATTTGTTAATATTTTTATTGTCGTGTTGAGTTCATGGTTTTAGTCAGAGATGTTGTATTGTTCTAGAAATCATCATGATTCTCGGTGAACGATATTAAATAAACTTCACGGGAGCCCACGGTTCAAAAAATACTTCTCCATTTCATGTCATTTGACAATGTAACAATACTACAATAGACACAAAGATATAGGCACCTAACCTTTCTGGAAACGCTTATAAAAAAACTTCACATGGATTTAAATGAATTCGTATAAAAGTTACCGTTAATAATTTATAATGGCACATTTAATTGAAGTTATATTTTAAATAAAAAAAACCATTGAAAAATCTACTAACATATGTTTGTATTTACACAGAGCTTCATGAGTGCTGAGATTTTCAGTGGCTGGAGATTTCTTATATAAATGATGATTAATATATCAAAATTTATTACATTTTATAACAGCCAACGTGTATTAAAAAATACTTAAAACAAAAATGACTGATTTAAAAATATATAAGCTATTTTTAAAAAATAGGAAAAAAAAACTATCTAACTGATTTCAATAAACGATTCATCTCTTTAGCTTTACTTTGAATATCTGACATAATAAAAGATATTGGTAATAGATAAGATACAATTAATCTAATATTTTGTCTTATAACAATCATTCATGCAGTCCATAATATTGGATTGTCTCTCTCACTGAAAATATTCAATATAAAGTCTGAAATTAATTTGAACATGAGCATCAAGTTATCAAAGGATAACTTTATAAATTTCCAATTAAAAGACATAATGATTATTTATACTAATATACACAATGGTCAGTAATAACTTAACCAACGTTGGATCTCTAGCTCCTTGCATTCCAAATCAAATTTAAGTTTCTCTAAATCAGTATTTAGCTGGTCAAAAGACTCGCCATCCATCTGACAAAGAACAAGTTCATGGTAAGAATGAATAGAAATGACAAACAATTTTTTTCTAACACACTTTGCCAGATTAATAAATACTGCTTCAAGTGTTTTATTTAAATTCTTTGTGAATATTCACAAATTTAACTTCGTCGAATTTACGTTAACAAAAATTTGCCATCAGCATCAATTTGAAATGAGATGAAATGAAAAAAACCTCAGACTGGCAAGCGGCGTCTACTACCACTGCTGATGCATCTCGCTGAACATTGCTAGACCTTTTATAGAATTCATCGACAGGTTCCAGTGAAGCAGCCTTCTTCTGAGTGACAATGCGACGCGAGTGCTGACACTGTATGGAGTGATTGATGTTGGCCGATGTCTTTCTAAAAAAATGCACTGGACTGCGTAAACCTGCATCTTCACATTCCTCTATAATTTCATTGTAGTCGGCTGTTGGTTGGTTAACATTGTTTACCAATCAAACTCTCATGCAATCCCATAAAAGCATTTTGCTCAGTTAGATGAAACGGCGTTGATATTAAAAGTGAAGTCAACCAACCTGATTTGCGTTTTTTGGCTTTTTTGCCGCCAAACCAGGTTTCTCTTCTTTTTTTCTTTCGGATTATGAAATGTAATTTAACGTTAGCATAAAATTTAAAATAGCATCAAATTGTCATAAACTATGACCATTAAAAACTATGAACTTCGGCTAAGTAGCATAATTGAATGAATTGAACAGTTGAATCAACAAGTAAGTCGAATTTACAATCTTAAATGTCGCATTTGAAACTTTAAAACAGTGCAAAAGTTCATTTATTTATTTATTTACTTATAAACTTACCCATGATAAGAAACTTAAAATAAAAAACTGAATGAAGAATTGCAAAAAAACATCAAAACATGTATGCTACAGCAAATTTAACGAAGAAAATAGTAGTAACGAAAGAACGGAAGAGTTATTGCATGAGTGGGTGTACATGTGTTTATAAGCATGCATGTATGTGAAACACTCCTTATAAAAAACGTGAACAGCCAACGAAGACTAACAGTTGAAACCTCAAAATAAAATACAGCTGGAACATTTAGAAGTTATTTTTGATTGAAAGAACTTCTGATCAACCTTGAGGAAATCATCTCCTTCGTCATCTTCCTCCTTCAGCCTGCTTGACATGATGATGAACTTCTTGTACTTCATCACCATCTGATCGTACTGCTCCGTCTCTCTGGCCAGCTGCTCTCTCTCTGCTGCTAATTTATTGCTGCCACCATCATTTTCATACAGCTGTTTAGTGTTTAGAAACAAATTTCATTACCATCAAAATCTGAACCATGATTTTGGCGAATTGAAAACTTATAAAACTAAAGAATTATAAAACTTATATTTTTTTTTACTAAGCCGATGTTTGCAATTATAGATTTGTTTTGTCTCTTCAAAGTTAAAGACTCACTTGCCCATATGATGGATGATCAGTTGGCTGTCAGAGCTTTAAAAATATTGCTTCTTATAAAAAAAATACTTCCTCCAAATAACTTACCTCTAATTTTTTCTTCAGCTGGTTGATCTCCTTCTCCATGCGACCCATCATCACCTTGTTGGACAGCTGCTCATTTATGACTGGTCTGTTCTTTATGCATTTCACTTTTGTTGCAAACTATCAATTATAAATGAAGGGCGTATAATTATGATGAAAATAATAAATATTTAAAATAACTTTATATAGCTTAATATAAACTCAACCAATAAAATATAACAAACAGATAAAAAATAGTTTGGTCAAATGCTCAGTATAGTGAACAAATCAACTAACAAAAAAAAGACAAAGGAGGGCATAAAACTGCTAATCAACAAAAAAAAAAAAACAGACACGGACGTAAAACTGCAGGGACCAACAGATAGGTACTAACCCTAAGGGTTGACAGAGTTTCGTCAGCAGCTACAGGAGTGACAGTGCATATGAAGACTGTCTTGCTGTTACCTCCCAAAGAGTTTTGAAGGATGCGAGTCAACTTGCTGTCTCTATAGCTGACAAAACTGTTGAATGATAACACAGAAGACAAAATTAAATGCTTTTAAATATGTTGAGGTAATAATTCTTTAAAAATATCAAAAGATATATTCCAATTAATTGAGTTGAGTATTTCTTATAAAAACACTTTGAAGTTTTAGCTTAAACAAACAACAAACTTTATCAAAAATATTTTTTTTATTGTACATGGATAGTGAAATTCCATGTTTTGTACAATAAATTTATCAACAACTTCTTTTATTTCTCACAAATATTTCTCACCTTTTATTATTGCAGTTAAAATTGATTGCTCATCTTAAATCATTGCAGCATTGATAAAATTAGATAAAAAATTTAATACCTGTCGAACCATAAATATTTTAAAAAAATATAATGTAGATGAATCAGCCTCAGAGAAACCTTTAAAAATTTCTTTTAAACTCTTAAGCATGAAATTTAAACAAAAGAAATTAAAAACAAAAATTGTGAAAAAAAGTTACTGTTAACAAGCCAAGACATATGAACCTGGAGTTTGAAGACAGTTGTGAGATGACCTGGGAAAGTGTCAGGAGACTCTTGTTGATGAACCCTCCCTCAGTTGCCCTTTGACCTACATTGCCCGTCTGCTTCAACTTCTCCGATCCAGCCAAATCAATGAGATACTGGTGTAATGATCAGAGTATTTTGAAATTTCATCAACCGACTCTTTATATTTTGTTGCTGAAATTCGTTTACATTGAGATATTTTTGATAAAACCCACACAAAAGAAGCAGAACAATGTGAGGCCAACTTTTGAGAAATATTTGCTAATGTTAATTAATATTAATGTTGATACTAACGCAACAATCCATCAAGGTTAATATTTATGTTGTATAAAAAATCATGATTGAAATTTCAATTTTAAATCAACAATTAGCCCTACCGGCGATTGCTAAATTATCAATTTAAAAAAAAATGAACATTAAGCAGGCTGTTTACGAAATATCAAGCAGGACAGGATAAAAAAAAGAAATAGAAAACGCCCTGGAATTATATAAATATATAATTATAAAAATATTTAAAAAATTATAAAAAAAATAATAAAGAAAAATGAGTGAGAAATCCAATGATAGGATGATGTAGGTAGGTAGGTAGGAGCAACAAACCAATTGCGATACGAAAAACGCGGCATCTCCTTCTGTCTCATCTCTATCTCTGCTTTCAATAATCTGAAGAGAGTGTTTTATTATTATTATTATTATTTTATTCTATTCTATTTATGTACCTTTTAATTGCAACCACCAATAAAATATTCACCATCCTTTCAAAATTGAGAAACATGATTCACGTGAAAATTGTATATTTTTTTTATAGAAGGACAAAACCAACAAAAAATGTTTCAAATCAGCCAGACTCAACTGAAACAATTTATAATGGAACTTACCACTCTAAAGAATACATGAGACCTACTGCTTTTTTCATTCATGTTCGTTGAGCCATAATGACGCTCTTCTGAAATTTCAACAATTCAATTACTGAACTAAATTGGAGAAATTATTCTTGGATAAAATGGCAGAATTAATTATATGATTAAATTAATTATGAAATTAAAAGTGTGTCAGTATAAGAATTTGACATTTAATAAAAAGCAACAAAATTTGAGACTAACTCTCCCCTCTCTTCAACAGCTCCATACAATCATCACAGTTCTGAACCAGCTCTTCCTTCAGCTCCTTCACAATTACATCACCTTCCTAATAGGATGTTAGTAGAGGAATTAATCAAATTAAATATCAAATGAACTAGAAACTATATAATTTTTTAAATAAAGTAAAAAAAACTGTTAAAGGATAAGTCTCAGTTTGATGTTAAACTTAATTAACATCAAATATTTACTAACAAAGTTCTCTCCAAGCGCCAGAACTTTTTTGGAGTCACTCAGCAGGTCAACGATATTTTCATTGTAGAGTTCGACGTAGGAAACCCTGACAAAATAGGCCCTGGAAGGTGTCTGAAAAAATGTGTCAGACAATTTTTACATCAAAATTTTTCAATCTTTTGACATAATGTATGACAAGAAAACAATACGTTAAAAATTTACAAAAATTGCTGAGAAAAAGAAAGTATTTAATTTTAAAATGTTTTTATTTTTGATATAATTTTATAATAATTTATTAGTGTCAATGTAGAAGACGTTCAAGAAAAAGAGAAGCAGATGTTGGTATCAGACAGTCAAAGCTACTGAACAAACATTTTCAATTTTGTTGTAGATTGATTTGATGCACATGGAAATAATTCCCGGCGAAGTCTCATCACCCATCATTGTATAAGTCTTACCAGATGATGTCTGTCCATAGGCAAATATTGTTCCTGAAGAATGAGTGGAATTTTTCAACCATGGCAAGAAAAATTAAGATAATTATTTTTATATTATTATAATAACTATTTTAAAAATTTGTATTGGGAGATGGAAAAGAGCTTATTTAACCAACCATTGATTCCACTCATAATGTCTTGCATTATAGGACTGATCAACTCGTCGAATATCACTTTTGTTTTCTGTTCTTTATCATAAACTCGATCTAAACAAGAGATATCATCAAAATATATATCACAAATTTTGTTAAAAGCAATCATGGTGAAAATAAAATTATCATGTGTAAGAAAATGCACACCAAAGGTGAATCTTTCTTGATTAGTCCTCACAATAACATCACTACCCTCTGCTCTCCAAATTTCTTTCTGATCTTCCTCTCTGGATGAAAAAATAAAAAATAAATTAGGCTGATTTAAAAATGGGCAAAAATCATATCACATGAGATGAGAAACATGTTTTTATTTTTCTGTATGCCTTCTCTCTTATATGTTTTATCATGGGGATGATTAATAAGAAACAGTTACACTCAGAGAGATTTTTTTTTTTTATTTTATGTACAATTTTTAAAAATAGATTTAGCTATTTAGTATTTACTAGTCATAAAACCACATAAAATTCAAATTGCAAGAATAAATTTATCAAATATAATATATATGATATATTTATTTTTGGAATTTGAATTTATTATATATATATATATATATATAAATAATATATTATATAACATGTAAAAATAGTAATAATTGACTACACCCCATGCATGTAGTCACTAGTATTTAATAATTAAATTAAAAAAGTTTATTTTATTTTAATTAAAATTTCATTTAATGACCACAACCTTGGAATGGCACTACGTATCCTTACAGCAACTTTTATGTTGTCCAATATGTCAGAAGATGTCATACTTTTTTTTCTGTTCATCAAAAAAATTTTAAGCTTCCACTCATAATTTTTTAATTAATTAAATCTATTAATTTTTAATTGATTTAAAATTCAAATTAATAAACTCACAAAACTGTAATATGAATAAATTTTATTTTACAATGAATTCAAAAAATAAAAACTTATAATTAAAAATTAATAAACTGAAAAAAGTAAATTTTTGTGCTCTGCTAGGTTCAGTGTTCTGTTCAGGTAGGTTGTTGATCGAGGAGATTCAGATTTACAATAAATTTTCATTAAAAATTAAATATACGAAATTGGAAAAAAATTACTAACATTTTTTTGCAAAAAAACTTTATATTATAAATAAAAATAATATAGTCCGATATAAAATTTAATTTTAAATTTCGGACACCCGCTCACCTTTGTTTCTACAAACTAAAAAAAAATATTCCAAACGGCTCAATCGAAAAACCACTGATTGTCTAAAACTAAAAGTTAGTGAATTTTTTGGATACACTGAAGAAATTCTAATAATTTATACTGCTATTGTTTATTTAAATATAAAAATAATTATTTAAAATGTATATTTTCGATTAAAAACTTAATTGGATCGATGTTGCAAATTAAACTTAGGAATTTAAATATAGCACAGAATTGGTTGCTGACCTGACAGCGTTTGTTGTGTCATATAATCTATCTCGCCATCACAAAAGGATTCTAAATAATTCATACATTCAAAACGTTTTGCCTTCATGGTCTTAATAAAGGTATTAAATTATTCAACATCATAGAATCTCACTCATCTCACTCATCAAGTACGCAGCTTCTTTTTGGTCCAGCCCACCACACGATCACAACTTCAAAAACTACAATTTCTCATTAAAAAATTAATTCTTCTCATCTACCAACCTACCTTAATTATACACTACTCTTACTCAAATATTCGACCAATTGTTTCCTGAATATTCAAAAAATAAACAAGTACAAATCATGCCATACACCAGGGGTGGGCAAACTAAGGCCCACCAAGTCATTTTTGCGGCCAGCGAGACGCGAGTCCTTTTCTGGCCCTTTTTTCTGAAAATCTCTACCCCCTTCTCTGACTACTTCTCTACATCTACTACATCTTAAGACACATCTGTTTGCAAAATTCATTGAGGAGCACAGCTGAACATCGTGAAAATAGCGCTTTATAAACTAGTTGGTTGATTGATTGATAGTAGCTATTATAGTAATAAAAACAATAAAAATAGTGCGGTTGAATGGCTTGTTATTTTTGATAAGATAATTTATTTATTTATGCTTAGTCAAAACAACGACATCAAAGAAAAATAATAAAAAATTTATAATAAAAATAATTTCTACCACTACTACTAATAATAAATGTACTTAAACATAAAAAATACAAGGGTATAAACTTTCTATTTCTTATAACTATTGTAACCGCTTTTCATCGTTACACTAGTCGATGCTGAAACATCAGAGATTTCATTGTTGTTGATTCTTGGAAGAAGGTCCTTCTAGCAAGACATCGGCATAATTTAACACTGGCTCAACAAATTTCTAAATTTGTTCAAAATGTGTTTCAATTTTGAAAACGACCTTACACAAGCAACTTGTAGTGAGGACAATGTCAAAATGAATTTGTAAGACAAATAAAAATTTGAATATGCAAAGCAATCCAAATAAAACGTCAAGAAAACAAATTAACAACAAACAATACATTTTATAAATGATTTGCATTCATATTTGTGCTTCTCGTTGTTTTCAACAGATGAGATGGTGTATATATTTTCAAGTAATTTTACTGATTCACCTTATTAAATCAAAGATCAAATTATAGCCATTTTCGAGAGTTGCTTGGAAATTTTCCCGTTTCATTGCAAAATCCAGTAACTCAGGTTGAAGCCGGTCTTCTGTTAGATTGCCATTAATTTTTTAGAACAACCCATTCAAGTGTTGCAGTGCGTCACTGGGCATTCTTTTCAAAATTTCTGCGAAATTTATTGAATCTAAAAAGAAAAATCGACGCAAAGACTTCCGGACTCACAGAATCTCTGTTTTAAATTATTAATCACTTGGTTCATTACAACTTTGTGAACAATGGCACGTAATTCATCTTTCAGACTTTCAAGCGGTCGGTTATCAATTCTTTCTCCTTCAAAACAATTCCATGTCGAAATTCGTCATCCACAAATGAACAGCAAAAAAGTTCTCCCACCCCAGCCATACACTCAATTACAGCCCATATATACTAAATAAGTAATATATAATTAACATACATGCTACCTCCAATCAAAACTGCCACTCATAATCTCCGTCAGCGCAAACGTAAGTACCACATTATTCAGTTTGGTTTCGTCATGTTAACATATTTGTATTTCTCATTTTGCTTGTTGAAACTTGAAATAGTCTCTCAGTGTGATTTCCAAAGAATAAACAAATTACTGCCAAGCAGCAAGTGAGGATCTTGATTTGAAAAAGTGTTTCAAATATTATTTTGCTTTAAATCATGGTTTTCCCAAATTTCAAACGAACGTAGACATTATTTTAAATTAAAGCAGACCCTTCAAAAGCAGAGTATCACGATCAAAATTATTGTCAACATTGCTGAAAATGGAAAAAATCTGACAACTCGAACAACGAATCTGGTGCACCCATTATATCCATGATTTTGATTATTTTATTATCATTATTATTATTATTATTATCGTTATCATTATTCTGACTATTATTACCATCCTTATGTTTCAATGCCATCAATCATCATCGACATTAAGTTTTAAAATCATCTATAAAAGAACTGAAAAAGATTGACATTATTGGATAAAGAGTTTGAAATATCTTGTCTGATTTATCACATAATTTGAAAACTAATAAACTGATACACGCAAAAACATTAGTGGATTACCTAATGAAAAAATATCTATACAAAAATTTGCCTTCCATAACATTTCACGAGTTTTTCACGTTATTACGATGAAAATCATCTTGCATAGATTAATAATACTTCAGATAATTAGCTTCAAGCCTCCAATGACGTTTGTTAGCGCGCGATGAACAGTTCGTACCATGGGATGCGTGGTCAGTCCACAACTAGCTCTCATTACCGTAAAGTACTTCATGTCTGTTAAGGACACTTTCCAATCAATGTTTATTTGCTTGTCCGATAATGATTAATAACATTTGGTATAAACTGCGTTCGTCAAAATTCATTATAAAAGGGCTGTATTATGAAGCTATGCAATTCGAATCGAACAGAGTGATAAGTTTTGTAAATATTATTTTAATTCAGAGTTATGAATGCCTTTGTGGTTATTTTATTGTGCGTAGTAATGCCATGCACCATTTGTTCTGATTTTACACAAGACCGCAAACAAGCAGTTAAAAGACAGTAAGTTTATTATTTTGAATGTGGCTATGTTGAAATTTAATTTAAATTAATTTCAAATTTTGTAAAAACTTAAGTCTTGCTAAAGTGCTTTTTTAAACTTTTAATTTAATTTAAATTTTTTTAAACGTATTTTCACGATCATAACAAAAATTAAAAATAATAATTATAAAAAATATAAAAAAATGTCAGGTATATGGTAGATGAAGAAATTTCCGATGAAGAATTTGATAACCACCTTCTGGAAATGTCGAGGACGTTTGCTGAAATTTCTAATCCATGGTAACTTCGTACCCTTTCTTCATATATCAAAAAAATAGTTAAAGAAATGTATGTATGCCTGTGTGCACAAAGACCATCTTCTGGAAGTGGCGAAAATGTTCGCCAGTATTCCCAACCCATGGATATAAAATAAAGAAAAAAATAAAATTTCAAATTTGAAAATATAAAATCCAACAAACATATACTACAAACATAAAATAATAACAAACAACAATCATAAAATAATAATAAACGTATAACATAAATTGTTGTGGTTATCACATGAGAACTCCATTTATCAAGCTAAATATTAGATGTTTCAATAGAAACCAAAAGAAACCAAAATTTCAATGGAAACCAAAATTTTCCTACAATCTCATTATATTGAAAACCTTTTCTCAACATTGTTTGAAACCTAAGATTCTTATTTTGAAAACATTTAACAAATTATATAATCATATTTATATTTGTATTCCAAGGAGAATTAGAGGCAATGATGGATGTGATGTGAGCTTTGGAGGTGGCTGTGATTCAGAACCTATGGTGGGCTATGTTAATGCATACCATTACACGAATCATAGAGAAGCAGCTGGAAAGAGAAAGAAATAACAAATTTAAATTAAAGCATCTTAATTTTTGTGTTACATTATTAATAACAAAACTAACTTCATGCACGTCACTTCCATAGCTACTGTTCATTTGGTAAAGTCACAATTGAAAATTTGTTTGAATGAATAAATAACTTCTGGCTTAACTTCTTCAATTGTAATATTTTTGTTCAATTCATTACTTAGTGATGTAACACCTTTGTCATGAATACCGCATGGCACAATTTTATTGAACCAGGTCAAATCAGTGTTACAATTTATTGCAAAACCGTGTGTAGTTACAAAATGACTTGCATGAATACCTGTCAAATTTTGTTGAAATATTAGAAAAAATTAAAATAAAACATTTTATTAAATTATAACAAAAAAGTAAAATGAGATGGTAAACAATAAATATTAAATAAAAATAATTGATTAATCATTAATATAATAATTTATCAATCAACACTGACCTAAAGCAGCTAACTTTTTATCATTGACCCATACACCAACATGTTTACATGTATAAGCTTTCAACCCAAACCTGGATGCTGTTTCAATGACAACATTTTGTAACTGGTCCACATATTTCCTCAAAGTCAGGTTGAAATCTTTCAAATGGAAAATTGGATAAACAACTAGTTGACCAAGACCATGAAAAGTGATCAACCCTCCCCTATCAGTTCTATGAAAATCAGCTCCTGATCTCAATAATTTATCTTCCAACTCTTTCGTGTAATCTCTTGAACGGATGCCAATTGTATAGGTAGGGTAATGTTCTAAAAATATTAACCTCTGCACCCTCGCACTTGCATTTTTTTCATCAACCAATTTTTTTCTGACCACGTTTTGAAATTCCAAGCCGGCATTGTATCTGATGAGACCAAGATTGATAACTTCAACTAAAGGCCTCTTGTTCATTTTTAACTTTAATTTTGCAATCAAACATAAATGTGATATTTTTTAGTTATCTGTTAAAAAATTATTTCAAAATGCTAAGCGTCTAGATCCAGAGCTAGACTAGATCGAAACGTTCAATTCAAAGTGCATGAAGTTTCTTCAGAATAAAAACTAAAGTGAAAATCGTTAAAATAATTCGTATTTGCTAGTATTTAGCTCATAAACTTGGAATACCAACATAGTGTTTTATTCTATGTGTATGTGTTTAGCCAGATATATAGAAAAATTTAACAAATTTTACGATAAATAATGATAAATTTATTTAATTATGTTCGAATTTTGCAAACTAAGAAAATTTTAGATCATGGATATATGTGTAGGACATGGTGTAAGATCATGGATATATTATATATATATCATTATATATATCCATGTGTAGGATGCCAAAACGTTTTCTTTTAGAAATTATACCGTAATGAGCTATCTTGCATCTTGCGTTTACATTACGATATTTCCTATAGAATTAAACTATAGAACTAAACTTTGAATGGAAAACACTTTGTGTCCATATATAACCACCCATAACCAATATTCATACGCAATTTAATAAGTTTTTTTTATACAAAATTAAACATATGTAATTTTTATAATTTTTTCGATTTTATTTCATTTAAATTGATTTAAAAAATCAGCTTTCTTGCTTTCAAGTGTTGTCCATTAATAAAAGACCGAAGTTGATCGTGCCCGAGATGTTACTATAGATTTTTTATCAATTTAATTTGTTTTTTTTTTGCGGACGACTTCGGTTTTATTATTTTGTCGTAAATTATAAAAATTTGAGGGGAAAATTTAACAAAACAGTGTCGTAATTAGTCATGGACGATTTTGATGATAACCCATTTGCCGTAAGATATTTCATTTTTGCTCATTTGTTTCTAAAAATGAGTGGTTATTGAAATTTTAATTATCATGTGATTTTTTCTTTTACTATTTCATTTCTAAAGTGACTATGTAACTGCTGACAGAATGTTCAAAATTGTTAACTTATAATTTTCGTCTTGGCTTATAATAATATTACAATAATATAAATTATATTTCTTTCGAAAGCTGCCAAAAAATCCATATGTTTTTTTTAACATTTTCTGTTCTGGAGTGTATGTATTATTTTTTTTTATTATATTATAATTATATTGTACTGTATCTTTAGTTTTCGGCTACTGAAAAAACAGGTTTAAGTAATAATTACTAAATTAGTTTAGTATTAGAATAGTAGAGTCAATAAAAAGTTTGACCAGTTGAGTAAAGTCAATGAAAGTTGAATGAAAAAGTTTTAGTGTTCCTTTTTTACATTATTTACTTTATAATTGTAAATTACAAACAAATTATTTCTACATATTTTAATATAGTTTGATTAATTATTACTTCAAAGGATCCTTCCATTTCTCAAGCTCGCCCACCCCCACCAACACTTCAGCCAATTGACCATTTCAATCCATTTGCCACAGAAAATAATGCTCCATCTCAAAACAATCAGGTTGATTATTAAACTAATGTTCAAGTTTTACAGAAAATCTGTTGCATATATGCATATTGCTTTAAATAGTTTTTTTAAGTTTGTATGTTAAATATTTAAATAACATTGGTTTTAAATTAAAAAAAACATTACTGCTTATCAGCCAGCAGTCCTGCCGACTGCACCATCAGATCCTCCATACTCCGGCGGGACCAAACATTTCAGCCAAGCACCACCACCCTACGTCACCAAACAACTGAACACGACAACTGAAGATCTGAGGAGACAGCAGGAGGAACTAGACAGGAGGGCAGCCGAGTTGGAGAGGCGGGAACAGGAACTGAGAAGGAACATGGACCCTTCGGGTTGCTTTCTTATTTTGTTTCCCCTCTCTCTCCCTCTATCCTCTCTTTCCCTCTTTATCTTTTTCTTACTCTGTCTTTTTTTCTCATATTTTTTCTCTTTCTGTTTCTTTTCATTTTCATTTTTTTCTGCTCTCCATTCAACTATTTTTATGAAAAACTATTTAAAAAATTTATCATAGAATTTCAAATTAATTTTCAATGTTTTAATAATTTATTTGATAATGTTTGAAACTCCTACTGTAAGTGTAATGCCCTCTTTTTATTGTGAATTTAACAAAGTCTCTTGAGTTTTTTTTTATAACATTTTCCTTTAAAAAATATTTAGAAATGCAAAAATTGTTTACATGTATTCAAATGCATGAAGTATTTATTATTCAAATATCTGAAATGAGTAATGGCCATGGTTGGTTTAAAAAAGAAAAAAAGAATGATTCTCTCATTTCGTAAAAAACTGTAAAACATATTTCCAACAACCATGGTGGTGAATCGTCATAATAAAATGGCTTGGATTATTGCACCAGGTCGATCTTTTGTAATAATAATTTTATCAAATTTTATTTATTCTCAGTGTTTAATTTTATTGCTGATAGGCTTGGGTTTATCTTGTTTATAAATTTCCATAATTAAAATTTTGTTTGTTTATATAAATTTTTTATTTATATGTGTTTGGCGAAAATATTTATAAAGATATGGAGGTCAAACAATTGGATAAACTAACGATTCATTGTTTTATCCATTTTCTTATTGATCTTTCCATATTTATCCATATGTTCATTTATTCATTCATCCATCCAATCATTGTATTCATTTATTTTTGTGATCCATTCATTTGTTCATCAGCTGTTTATTTACTAATTTTTCCATGCATCCATTCATTTCCTCTCGTTCATTTATTTATTCGCCAGTTTGTCCATCCATTGATCCATCCATCGGTCAATTCATTCATTTTTTATTCACTCCATCTACCAATTCATTCATCCACTAATCCATCTATTAATTGATTCATTCATTTGTTCACTACCTCATTAGCTCGAGTGAAGAACTTTCCACCTCTTCCATCCTGGTTCTGTTTGAAGCCATGCTTCTATCAGGATATCAGCCTGGAAATACCCATGGAATTTCAGAAACTTGTTCGTTATCATTTCCATCTATGGATTGGTATGTCACCTCAATCACTCACTCACTCACTCACTTACTTACTTTTTTACTTACCCACTCACTCATTCACTCACTCACCCATTCACTCACTTACTCATTCACTTATTCACTCACTTATTCACTCACTAATTATATCTTCTTTTTTATAATGTTTGATGTACCGCTTAATATTTGTCTTTGGCCTTTTAAATAAATATTTTTATTAATAATAATTGTGATGTTTAGTAAATTAGTTATTCTGACTGTTTTTATACATTTCTTGATGAAATAATTTGTTTTATTTTATTATGCGTGTATTAAAAGTTGTCTGATTGATGAATAATTAATAAATTGGTTGATAATTTGATTGATTGATTACGTGGTTGATCAGTTGTCTGATTGATTTGATTGATTGATTGATTGATCCCCAAACCAACCTAACAACTCAAAATTATTATTTGTTTGATGATTGATTGATTTTCTAACCAACCAACCAGCTGACCAATCAATCAACCGACCAATCAATCAACCGACCAATCAATTAATTGACCAATCGATCAACCAACCAATCTATTAACCAGCATACTGTTGCGTCCTGCTGGTGAACATCATAGGATCGATTTCTCTAATGGCTATCCACGGATCAGAGGCTGGATCGACATTCGGCCTCTCCATCCTCTTCTTCGTCCTCTTCACCCCCCTCTCATTTGTCTGCTGGTTTAGACCGATCTATGATGCTTTCAAGTCAGTGTGTTTTTTGAAGTGTGTGTATGTGTTTGTGTATGTCTCTGTGTGTGTGTGTTTGTTTGTGTGTGAGTGCGTATTTTGTATGTGAGATTGTGTTATGTGTATAGGTGTGAATTTATACTCAGTGGATGCTTGTTAGATGCTTTTACTCGAATAGGATATCCGTCTCTAGTCTCTAGTTACTTGAAATAAATTCATGTATTTTTGTATTTTGGCTATTTATTTGGCAGATTTGTTTCATCCAGATATGAAATAGGTTTTTCAATTACTTTTTTAATTGAATATCTATTTAATTAATTGATATACATGATAATGATATCACAATGGCATTGCAATGATATCACAATTACATTACAGGAAAGATAGTTCATTCAATTTCTTCCTCTACTTCTTCGTCTTCTTCATGCAGTTCTGCGTCAGTGTCATTCAGTGTCTGGGTATCAGTGGATCGGGCACTGTGTATGTTTATTGTGTTGTATTCTTTGTTTATGTTTTGAATTCTTTGTTTATGTTTTGTATTCTTTGTTAATGTTTTGTATTCTTTGTTTATGCTTTGAATTCTTTGTTTACATTTTGTATTCTTTGTTAATGTTTTGAATTATTTGTTTATGTTTTGAATTATTTGTTTATTTTTTTTTGTATTATTCTATGTGTACGTGTTTGTTTGTTCTCATGTTAATGTTTGTGTTTTTGCAGTTTTTTATAATAGTAATAATAAAATCTATAATAATAATAATTTGTACCATATTAAAAATGTGGCCTGTATGATTGACTGCTCACAAATTGCAGGCTTATCTTATGCTATATAATTGCTTGCAACTTCCATGTAGCATATTATTCGACTGATTGTATAAATGCCTATGTATGAAATCCTTTATCATCTGCAGTTATCATCATTTGCTGTTGTATATTAAACTTAATAACACACATCAACTACTCACACACGTACGCACACATGCATACACAACACGTCTATACACGCACAGGGGTTTCATTAATGGACTTACATCGGTCAGTGCTAATATTGGCGTGGGACTCTTTCTCGTTCTCATTGGAATCTTGTTTGCCGGTGTTGCTGGCACCTGCATGTATTTCCTATTCAAGGTTCGTGCCGGTGTGTGTGTATGTGTGTGTATGTGTGTGTATGTGTGTGTGTGTGTGTGTGTGTGTGTGTGTGTGTGTGTGTGTGTGTGTGTGTGTGTGTGTGTGTGTTGGTGTGCTGCTGTGTCCATGTCCTGTTGAGTTGTTGTGTTGATGTGATGTTGTTCTGATGTCGTTTTATGTTTCATGAACACAAGCAAAACAATAATAGCAACATCAACAAACAACACCAACAAGCAACATCAACAAACGACATCAACAAAATGTGCTCACCACCACCAACAATAACAATAACACTACCATTGCAGGTACACCGCATCTACAGATCCTCAGGAGCCAGTTTTGCGAAGGCTCAGGAAGAGTTCGCCAAGGGAGTTTTCAGCAATCCAACCGTCAGGCAGACGGCTGTTAGTGTGGCTTCAACGGCTGCCAGGTCGAACATGGAGCAAGGCAGAATGTGATTGACAGATTGATCGATTGAGGATTGATTGGTTGATCGATCAGTTGATTGGTTGATTGATTAGTTTTGTTTCGTTAGTTGGTCAGTTGTTAGATTGATAGACAGATTGTGCAGATGTACCAATAATAATGTAGTAGCCACGAATAATTTAATGACAGTTTGAAAGTTGTGTCTGTCGTTAAATCTTTGGCATCGTGTGGCCGCATTTTTATAGGTCACGGTTCGTTAGCGCGCCGACATTCTCAAATAATTAAAATTATAAACGGCTTCGTAAATTGATGATAGTGAGTATATAAATGTGTGTGTGGATGTCAATAATGATGATGACGTCGTGATAACTTTTACGATCTTATCACCTTGTATGACCCATCTGAAATAATGGTGCAGGCATTATTAAATTGATTGTTGGAATATTGCAGACGACATAAAGAATCATTTTTTCAGGATTGCATTTATCCCTTTTCTATCTCTCTCTCTCTTTTCTCTCTCTCTCTTCTCTCTCTCTTCTCTCTCTCTCTCTCTCTCTCTCTCTCTCTTATTCTTTTTTGTGGGTTTTATGTAATCGTTATTTAATTAGGCAGTGTCACAGCTGTTTATTTAGCATGGTTAACACAACATTAATGGGATACACATACATATACACACACATAACTTTTTATTAAAGTTGATTGAAGTTTATCACCATTATTATTCTTACTATTTCGCTATCGGTGGAGTTGCTGTTAAGTTTCTGAGGTATATTTACTTGATGATAAATGTGATTGAGATGGTAACATCATCTTGTATGATCATGGTCTGGTCTTATCCCATATGGTTTGATCGTGTATAATGCTAGGTGAGTTATACTGATTGGATCTAGAATGGTGGTGTTGTGTGAAGATGAATTTTTGGGTTGCTATATAATTTTTGCTTGAAAGAATTAATTCAATTTAATTGTTCTCAAATGTATATTATGTTCATTGACATAATAATAATTTTTTATAAGTGAAATTAAGAAATATGCGCTGTAAATTATTGTCGTAAAAATGAAATCATCATTATATTTATTACTATATTTTTCTTAATAAAAATTATAATAATAATTATTTTTATTATTATTATTATTATGGAAAAACTTCAAAAAATTGTTTTTCATATGTATAAATAATAAAGTGACATTTTTAAACTGTAGTATTAAGATAATATTGATAAACTTGATGAGAATCATTGTTGTTGTTATTATCATTTTTGGGGGATATTTTACGTTATTATTATTCTTCTTATTGTTATTTTTATGTCTGTGTCCTTATTTATTTGTAGTCGTAATTATTATTATTATTGGTTTTATTGTAGGCTTTCTGGATATGAAATTGTTGTACTATCTCTCTCTCCCACACTCTCTCACTCTATCTCTTTTTATCTATCTATCTACCTATCTATCTGTCTAACTGTCTGTCTGTCTATCTATCTATGCCTCTATATATCTTTCTGTCTATATATCTGTCACTTTTCCACTCTCTCAAATTGTTTTTTGTCTAAAAATAATTCATTCGTTCATTTTACTCACATTTAAATTTTTTTTACGTAATAAACTCTTTTCCTCTTTAAATTTGTTGTACACGTTTAACTTGACAGTACAATCCATGTAGAGGAAATATGAAAAGAGTATGCAACTAATTATCATTACTGATTGTCACGTGTTTTTCTAATATTGCAAACTAATATTACGTACATACAATGGTACGATGATAATCTACCATCATTAATGATCGTAACATTGTAAATTAACATTGTATTGGCACGATAGTTTTAATGCTGCTCTTCATTGTTTAACAGCGTTTCGCCTGTCTAAGTCTATTTGGAGATTTTCAGATACTGTTTTACCACACTTTCAAGTATATGTGTGTATATATATATATATATATATATATATATATATATATATATATATATATATACACTATAAATTCTACCGAATGTTTGGCGTTAATATGTTTGTGGTTCGAACTACAAACATATTAACGCCAAACATTCGGTAGAATTTATAGAATATTGTATAAATTCTGGTCTATTACCAACATATATATATATATAAATACGTAATGTATCACGAAATGTGAGGAAATTAATTTGGTAACACTGTAGAAGTTATTTTAATTATGCTTCATTTTGTTGGCTTTAAACTACTATTTTTAATATAATATAGGAAATTATTTTAATGTCGTAAAAATTATTGCTGTATATAGAGAATTAAAAATATAACCATCCATTTATTTATTTATTTACATCAGAATAGTAACTCAGTCAAAGTTTGTATTATAATATTTTTTAAATGCATCGTCTCGTGTGTTTATTGAGAAATTAATTGAAAAGATGTGGAACGAACTAATTAAATCAAGTGATTGGAGATTTGTTGCACCAGACCGCAAAGTCTCAACCTTTTGACAGATTTTTGCACTAGTTCACGTTGTCTTCTTATTAAAGAATTTTAACACACCCAACAAAGGCACCGTTACAAATTGGTGATTTTTAATAACATCGCCGTTTTAATGCTTTTAAAGCACCTGACGACGCTTTGCCACCGTTGAATTAAAAACCTCGTTGCATGCACTTCACGGATTGAAATGAATTAGAATTTTTTGCTCATCATTTTGAAATCCAAGTGCATGCAGTTTATGGTTTAATTTAACAAATACAATGAGGCAAACATGTTTTTCGTGTTGGAAACACACTCTGCTTTTCCTTAACGTTAAATTGCATTGAACGTTTACTTTTTTTAATGTTTTTATTTACTTTGGCCGGGATCTGACTGATTTCCAGGTGTTTGTTTTGTTGATATGTGCGTACATTGGGTTATTTTACGTTGTGCTTCGAATTATAATAATGGTAATTGCGTTGCGCGCATAATCATTATGCCGTCAACCTCGTCTGGTTATTATGTCACCACATACATCTAATCTATCTGTCTGTCCATCCACATTCACAACAACTTTCAATCACTTAGTTGTGTGTCAGTTTCATGAGATGATCATACGTAAATGCACGAACACAATCATCCACACTTTAGCTTAACAATACTAAATCATTTGGGCTTTTTTGTATTATTCGTCATGTTGTGTCATGGTACCTGTGTAATTTTTGTTAATTCAGTCATTAACGCGAAATGTTTGCTGTTGTTCATTTGCGTATATTTTTTGGTGAATTTTCATTACAAATTTAAATTAAGTTTTGCATTTGTATACTTTATTAAACTGATGGCACTTTTTCGTTCTAAAGTTAATTTATCAGCTGAGACTTGAATGTATCTTTTTTAAAAATATCTTCTATATTTTATTATTTTACGGTTGAAAATAATTCTTTTTCAGTTTCATGTAAATTATTGGCTCTATGCTATATCTACGTTACATGTTTTTGCCGCATGAAGATTATTAACGTAATTAATAATTTGTTTGGAAACTACAAGAATTATTTTATAACTTTTTCGTTTCTTAGGCTCAAGACGTGGAGTAATTCCAGTACAAATATTTGCAAGATGTTGAAAATTTAAAAAATTTAAATGGCACTACTATAAGTTATGGTCATTGACGAAATATATACGTGTGATGTGTGAATTAACAAGATAATTTTAATTTAAAACTATAAAAAACTACACTTAAAATAAGAACTGAATTATTGTATACTATTGTAGTTGACCTCTAAGTATTTGCGTGACTGTTTAACAAGGATTTTCAAACTGGAGTTGCCCAACGCATCTCCCCGTACATGATGCAGGCAGATTCCAGCGGGTGATCGTTTAATTAAAACGTAAAAATACAGAATAATGACGTATTTGCTTTCAGGTTACGTTTAGATCCATATATATAACACTATTAATTAATATTCATAACCCTAGTTAATATTTATCTGCCGCTCAATGATTTTTTTATAACATGCCATATGAGATATATCATTTAATTAGAATATATATAGATATGCGAGATATATAGTATTTTGTTCCGTGATAGCCTTTATAGGTAAAATTTAACTAAATTATGCGCTATAAACCATATGCGGAAAACGTGCTGATAAATAGACGCCATTAAAAGTAACATCGATAATTACTCGTTGGTTTGTTTTTTTTACATTTTCTATCATAATTCAAATTTAGCGGCAATCATCTCGAAAAATTTGTTGGTATATTTAAATGTTTGCGGTACGTATTTGTTTATTTTTTAATAATTTTTAGTTAAAATTAAATTTTAAAAAATTTTTACAAAGCACCAAAATTTGTTTTTGAACTGAGTGCACAGTGAGTAGAGAATAGCAATAGATAGAGAAAATAGATCACTATACTAAATAGTAAATACTTAAATAGTTAATAATACTGTTATCATTTACTTGTTGTCAGTAGTTAGTGGAGCAAACAGAATACTTAACATTGTTGTTGTGTGGTTTTTTTTATATTGTTAGTATTATAAAAAATAATTATCTGAAAATAAAATGAAAAGGGATCATAAATTTTTTTTTCATAAAATATTAAATTAACAATCATACATAATCATTTATAATTATGTCACAATGTTTTATTTTACTTTTACTAGATACTAGAGTTTTGGTTTGGTTTTATTGTTTCAAATTTTTTATAATATGCATATTAATTATGCATGTGCATGCTGCACTTTCATTCTGACATTTATTTAATTTTTAACCAATGTTTAATCATGTAATGTTCACAGTAACTATAGGCTCAGCAGCCATTTCTGAATGTAAAAAAATTACAGACACGGTGACCGGTTATAAGTTATATAAAGTTTTAGTCCGCTAAAATTGGAGAAATGGCAAAAAATCAAATTATATTTAATATTTTTAGATATAGTGACAAATATTTTTTTTTCAACCTAAGTTTTTTAAACATATGCTTCGTAACCAACTTTTACTATGTAATTTTGTGACGAGAAATAGGAAAGTCCAATATATAAACTATCTTTGGCTTCATCAAAATGTGAAATATTTAACCAAACGAAATTCACAAAATTGATCTTTTGCAGTAAATTTGGTTTTATTTCTGAAATCACACCAAAATGAATTTTTTCAGAAAGTTTGCATGTCTATTATTCTTCATCCAATTGTGATTCGCTACTCTTTCAATATATATATATTAATTTATATATTACTATTGGTCTATGATTTGTGTATATATTTGTATTTTGTCACTGTAATTGCTTTCAATGCTAAATAAATACAATTTGTCTGAAATGTTTTGAAAGTTTAAAAACAACTGGTGATTCAAAGTTACAACAACTCCAATTCTTCCATGCTATCAGCCACCAAGACTAAATCATCTGCATACAAAATCTCAAATAACAACCCCTCCATTATGTGTCCACATACAACATCCATCACAATTGCAAACAAAAATGGTAATAACACTGATCCTTGATGCACTCCTACCTTAACACTAAAAGCGTCCGACATCCCCCTTCCAACCCTCACCTTTGTCTTTGCCCCTTCATACATCTGCATCACAGCTTTAACAAGTCTCTCATTCACTCCTTTCTTCCTCAATGCCCATTCAATGATCTTCCTCGGTACTCTTCGATCAAAAGCCTTTTCTAGATCCACAAAGCACATGTACAATCTTCGTTTCTTCTTTCTATAATTCTCCTGCAACATTCTCACTATGAACAACGCATCCACCAATGCCCTACCAGGCATAAATCCACACTGCATTTCATTAACTGTCACCATATTTTTCAACCTCCTCTCAAGCAACTTCTCCAATACCTTCATTCCATGCTCTAACAGTTTCAACCCTGATTCTAAGTTATATTTAAAATTAATTAGATAAGTGACATTTCTAACAATTTGTATATTATCTTCTTAAAAAAAAGGCAATTTAGAATTAATAATTTAAAAAAATAAGCAATGTTGATATAATATAATAAATATATAATCTATAAAAAAAGCCGTTTGTAGTTATAATGCATTAAAAAACATTCAAAATCAATTAGATTCACAAAAAGCGAATTGTTCATAGAGGACATTCATTTATTTAAGACTTACAATTAATGATTTTTGAGCATACTTTGGGCGCAAATGTTAAATATTTTCTATGTACCTCTACGTAAGCCATAAGGTGAATGAACTTTATTGAAAAACGGTCGCCGTGACCACATCTTTTTGCGTAAGAAAACGGCCGCTGTGTCACTAGTTTTGGCGTTTAATGTTTTAATTTAACAAATTTTCAGACAATAATTAATAAAGATATGGAAGGCATGTCTCAGGATGGACAATCATTAGTGGCTGGAGAATGGGACCAACAACAAGTGAATGTTGCAGCAGCAAACAACTCACAACCAGATGCTGTTGCCATTCAAGAACTATTGAACATGAATGGCATCGGACCTGGGGAGGTAATGTATGTTATGGTTGGCGAGCTAACCTATCAAATTATTGGGCCCCAGAAACCAGGAGATGAAGTTATTGTCACGCCAGTGAATTCGGGCATCTCCTTAGAGGACTTTGCAGCAATCAGTGCAGAGCAGGAATCAATTAAATCTGAACTTTCTTATCCAATACCAGCAACAGAAGATGCCTCTCAACTTCAACTACAACAACAGCAGCAACAACAACAACAGCAGCAGCCACAACAATTCATTCAGTCAGCAGATGGTGACATATATGCCACAAGTGCTGATGGTATGCAGATGATGATGGTGCAGGAAAATACCCCTATGGTCAAACAGTCAGAAGGAGCAACAATAAAACTCGGTGGGCAAGATTTTGTACTTCAACCGGGTCAGCAACTTCCACCTGAAATACAAGAAATGATATCAAAAGGATTGCCAGTTGACCTCTCTAATTACGAGTTCGTCATAGAGGGTGACTCTGGTCAATCCAGCCAACAAGCATTTGCCATTCAACAAACTGGTTGGATGTACTTTTATTATTTTCTTCATCTTCAACACATTTAACATATGAATTCGATTCAATAATTATAATAATGTTGTTGGATTTATCTGTTCTTTAAATTAAAACAAACATTTCTGAATTTTTGAACCATTTTGTATGCGTGACAGGAAATGACATGGGTGGTATGATGAGTCCCATGATGGCCGAACAAGTTGGAGGGGGTGGTGACATCACTGGACACGAGATCCAACCAAAGAACGGCATTTACGTGCAGGTCTGAACAGTTTCCCTGATTCTGTACGACGTGATGTGTTTTTATTGAAAGCAAGAATGGTGAGAATAATGCTGATGAGAATGTTGAAACGTTTGTAAAGCTGACCCTATTATACTTTTTGCATGACTTAACTTGAAGCTTAGTTGAATTGAAATGACATCTCTTCATATGACAGGTTATAACAGCTGCCCCAGGAGAATTTGATGATGGCGAGTTCTCCTACCTGGCCCCAACGGCAGAAGATCTCCACTCACATCTGCTCGACGCTGACCCACACCCTGTTCCGAACACCGGCTACATGAACTGCTATTTGAACTTTTGTAAGAATGGTGGGAAGGTGGAAACACAGGCCAGCAGTCAGCAATCCACCAAGTATGCAGTTGGTCTGAAACAGGTGGAGGAGAAGAAGGCAAACCTGCTCGTTGGTGCTTCAAGTGGTTCGGGCAGGTCTCTGCTGATCTCCAATCAACAACAACCTCACAAACAAAACTTTAAAAGTATTTTCTTTTTGTTTCCTAATAAATATTTTCAATATCCCACATCCATCCATCTATCCACCATCTATCATTCCGACCCAGGAAAGAGAAGCAACGAGAGTGAAGGTGACAGTGACGCTGAGAAGATATCACGTGGGGACCTTGACTTTGATGATCCTCTCTGGAAGCTAAATTCTGCATCTGTATGTTTTCTGTTGTATGTTTTGTATTGTATGTTTTGTATTGTATGTGTTGAATTGTATGATGTTGTATTGTATGCTTTTTATTGTTGGTATGTATTGTATAGTTTGTGTGGTGAGCTTTGTATTGTATGATTTGTATTGCATGTGTTGTATTGTTTGCTTTGTATTTTGTGTTTTTCAATGAGTTGTGTGCTATGTCTTGTCTGTTGCATATTACATTTAAAACAGTTAAATTAATACATATACCTATATTTGTATTTTTATATATTCTACAATGTTTAATAAATACGTACACTATCTCCATTGGCAGAGAATAGATGAACGTCGACAAAGCTTGACTAAGAACAAGGTGAAAAGTAAGCTACCAACCCCAATAGCACCTTCAATGTCAGTTTTCTTTCTATCAAAAAATTTAAAATTTTTACTGTTACTACTTTTATTTGTAATTCTTCATGTTACAGATTTTAGAAATTTTTTTGTAATTGAACCTACTGATTAAAATTTTTTACCATAGATATTCAACCAATCAGTACTTCTCCCTTATTAAAAATTTTTATTGTTCACTCAGCCAATCAAAACCTATCACCTTTAAACTGGCCAGCCAATCAACTAATCCAATGACCGACTAATTAAACTAACCAACCAATCAACTAACTGACCAATCTATCAATCAATCAACTAACTGACCAATCAGTCAACTAACTGACCAATCAATCAATCAGTCAACTAACTGACCATTCAATCAATCAGTCAACTAACTGACCAATCAATCAGTCAACTAACTGACCAATCAATCAACTAACTGACCAATGACAGACGATCTCCATCACTATTGAGTCAGCATGAGTTGATGAAGTTACAACAGACAAGCAGTGAAAATCAAATAGAGTTCCCCGTTCAGTACATCATGCAAAACGAACCTCACAATTTCTTTGTTAGTCTGCCCTTGTTCTTCTGTATTGGTTTCTAGTTGTTTTCAGTGTTGTGAATGCGTGTGCCCATGTGATTTGGCCATAGATTTATAATGAAATGTTAATGGACCTCATTTACTTCTTAAATAATTAACCAAACTTATAATTATGACCTGGAGGCTATTAATTTTCAACACCGAAATTATCACATAACATTTACAGTCTTCGTTTTGTGCTTAATTATATTTCGGTCATAAATTCATAGAATCCACAATCTTTCACGCTGATTCTTTCATGACAACAACGACTATTATTACATCACCGATGACATAACCATCACCAACAAAAAAAAAACCAAAATCAGAAAGGTGACTTTGTTGTGGATAAGAAAGATGCATACAAATCCGAATTCGCCATTTGGAGGATTGAGAATGGGAAGCTACTGCAGAAGTTTGATTCCTTCTTTGATAGTGGAAAACTGTACCATAAATCTGCTTCTGTGGTTCGTTGTCTTCTCTTTTGCTCCGTTCCGTTTTGTTTGACCTGCTCATATGTTTGTTTGTTTGTTTGTTTGCTTGCAGTGTTTGCACTGTTTGTCTTTCTTTAGCACATGTTCTATTGTTGAAATGCTTCTCTGTTGATGTCTTCATTTAGTGTTTGTTATTCTGTTTTTTATTTGATGTTGTCACAACCGTTTGTTGGCTCTTTTGATTGATTGATTGTTAGATAGATAGATTGATAGATTGATTGATTGATTGATTGATTGATTGATTGATTGATTGATTGATTGATTGATTGATTGAGATATGCATAGACATGCACTTTCGGAAATTATCAATACCGGTTGTATCATACATAAATATATACATACACACATATCCATACAATCGAATACATATCTGTTGATGTATAATACCATGCATGCAAATATGTATTGCATGTTACCATACCCACAATCATATACAAATAAGTATACATTGATGCGCTGTACCATACATACAACCACATACAAATAAATGTATATTGATATGAACAGTATTCCAGTTGGTCGGGTGACATAAGGACGAACTTTAAACCGCTGGTAGCAGACATCATCAGCGCAAGTTCTGCAGCTGTTGGTCGCAAGCAGGACATCATCGTGAAGGTCCTCGACAAGTACATACCCAAACCAGCTGATGAAAGGTTTGTCTGGTTTAGTAGTGTGTTTATGTGTCTGTATGTTTGTATGTTTCTGGGTAGGTGTGTGTAATTTATTACAATAATATTATTTATTAATAATCACGATAGTAATGCACTCTCTCTCTCTCTCTCTCTCTCTTTCTCTTTCTCTCTCTCTCTTTCTCTCCTCTCTCTCTCTCACACACACACACATATGTTAGCTTGGAGCAGAATGCATTAATGCAGTTTTTCAACATCTATGTACACGTTCTTCTCAATCAAGTATTCGAGCCGGCGTATCTGGCAGCCATTCAGCAACAAAATGGTTGGTCCTCTGTCTACTTGTGTTTGCTTTTTCTTTTATACGTTTGACGTTCTGGTTGTGTCCATGTTTGTATTGTTTACATATGCACACACATGTGTCTGTCTGTGTGTGTGTGTATGTATATGCCTTTGTGTGTATGTGTGTTGCTTTGTGTGTGTGTGTGTGTGTGTGTGTGTGGTGTGTGTGTAGGTGTACTTTTCGTGCATAGTTTTACATTGGTTTTTTACATACAGTTGAATACTATTTGGAGCCTATGACGCAGATAGATCAGCTGATATCGGAGGCCAAACAAGCAGTTGTGTCCGAGTATAACTGGAATGAAGACTTTAAGGTTATGCTGTTGTTGTTGTTGTCGTTGTTGTTGCTGTTGTTGTTGAGGATTTTGTTAATAATTTAAAAGTTATAATTAAAAGACTGACGACGACAAGTTTTCATTAATTAGTAGTTCCATGAATTTTTTTTCTCCACCCACCACAGACCGTTTTGGAGACATGGTCGTGCTACACGTTCGTTGCAGCCAAAGCTACTGAATCCTTACAGAATTGTCAGGTGAGTGAGCATTGTGTGATGGTGGTCATTAAAAATGTGATGATGGTCATCGGAAATGGGATGATGTTGCTGGTGATAATTTATAGTTTCACAATAATGATTTCGCTCTTTATAGCGTGTTTTAGATTTTTTTTTTTTAAGTTTGATCTACAGCTTTTTTTAAATAATTATTGTATTTATATTTTTTAAAAAATATGTTTAATTTCGCTAATCTCGAGATTTGATTAATCTTCTGAAACGTTGACTGATGACAATTTATCTAAATAATAAGATTACTTCCTCTTGTTAGGAATAAACCACTCTAAGACATACGACAAATAAATGACAAATAATTCAAACAATGTAGAAAATAATTACATTAACAAAGTCACCAAATAATATCTTATCTTTTTATTGACTGGCAGGCAATCAGTGATGGCGGGTCGGCAATGAAACTGGTCAAGTTCTACGGACAGAGTTATGATAGAGATAATTTGCTCAACACACAAGAACTAGCATCCAGCAGTAGCCAGGTTCGAATGCAAGGGTGGCGCATCTTTCAATGCATGCATTTTTTCTATTGTGTAATTGAATTTGTGTGTGTGTGTGTTTGAGAGTGTGTGTGTGTGTGTGTGTGAAAGTGTGTGTGTGAAAGTGTGTGTTATGTGTTTGTAAATTGTAGAGGTGTCTTCGTTGGTTTATGCAATGTGTTTATGTGTTTTGTGTGTCCAAGGGTTTATTGTTTTATGATATTTGTTAAGAAGGTCCATTTATTTGAATTATTTCTTCGATTATTCATTTGTTTATTTTAGTTCTGTAGATTTATTTCATTGGTTGATACAACAAATGTAGGATGGATGGATGATTGTTTTGTTATGGAAGGCAAGAAAGTGGTTATTTTATAGTTTAAATATCCGCTGATACAAACTTCCAACATCATCATCATCAGCAGCAGCAGCGGTGGCAACATCAATGTTGTTGTTGTTGCTCTTATGATGCAGTTCATTGAACAATTTCACAAAATCAAATTCGAGTCGTTTGTGAAGCTACAAATGAACTGACATTTTTTTCTAAATTTTTTTTTTTTGTATGGTTGATGTTCATTTATTTGGTTTATGCATTTAAATTATTACTATACCATTGTTGCTGGCGTATCTTGCTGCTACTGCGATTTTTATTTTCATTGCATATATGTGCACATGTGTGTGCTTGTGTATGTGTAGCTGTGTTATTACGGTTATAATAAATAAGTCTATGGATTTATAAAGGATATTGCAATCGCAATTAATACGTTGTAAGTTGAACTAAAACATATGTGAGTAAGTATGTTGCTTGTTATAACATTAATAACCATTTATTTATTTCCTTCTTCATTAATTTGTTATCTATGATTTATTTATATCCATCTATGCAGGACTTTTTGATAGGGAAGAATGCATTTGCAAATCTTGGAATATACCATGCTCTACATCATTTCAAATATTTACTTTTCAGAAAATGTCATGAAGAGGTATGTGTATTTATATGCGTGTATGTCTGTGTATGTATGGTGTTTGTGTGTCTGATTACTGATTTGATGTTGTTGCTATTATTATTAAGTCATAAAAGGTAACGAATTGAATGTGGTAGGAGGACATTGTAATTATCATTTCCACCTTCCATTATCATGAACCATTCAGGCAGTCTTCCAAGTTTCTTCCATGAACAAAGCCAACAGCGAAGTGCCTGACATCTGTATTCAAAACAGGATCTGGGTGCAACAAGTCTGTTCATGTTTCGTGTTCTTATTTCTTGTTGTTCTCGTTCATTTATATTTCTCGTTTGTAGTTCTTACTGTTTTTATGTTCAGTTTTCTTATTGTTGTTGTCTCGTGATAGTTCGTAATTCCGAGGTTATACAATGGCTTTCTGATGCCTTCACGGGCTCAGCTTATATGTATGTATATATCTAGCAAATCTATCACATCTGAAGTTAAAGCTTCCTCCATACGTACTCATACTCATTTGTACTTCATACGTTTTTATATCACATATTTGTCCATTCATAAGCATCCATTGTACAATGTACGTATACAATCTCCACACATTCAACACATACCTTAACATTCAAATCCAACCATTCATCTCTCTCTCTCTCTCTCTCTCTCTAACAGATGTTCTTAGACTTGAAAGGCCTGTTGGACAGGTACATCATAATCAAAACCGAAGAGGACAATACGGAGACTGGAGATTCACAGCAGCAAGAGGACTCTCAACAAGAAGGTGGTGGTGGTACCGCTACCAACGGGGAATAAGTTCATTTCCTCTGATTTAGGAATTGGTTTTGTTTGATAGTTCAAGGTCTTAGTCTAAGCAGTTCTTGGACGAACGAATGATCTTTGTAAAAATTCTCTCGATTTATGCTGATGTACACCCGTCTAATAGGCTCCTCTGTACTAACGTTTGTTACTAAGTTGGACTGCTAAGTGCTTCTGACTCAATCTCTATTGTTTCTTCACTGTTATAAACGTCGATTGTAATATATCATTAAGTCAACATGTACCGTCAAATTCTTTTTCAATTGGATTTTTTGTCTTGAAATGAGTGACCAATTGATATAATTATTGCTCTTTCTTTAAAATAAACTTTGGTTTTATATGAATGAATTTAGCCAAGGTTCTAAATTTTTCTTATTGGTAGATTTTTGTAGACAGATGTGAACTTTTGACGTCATAAATGATTTTGATTTACAGGTAGGTTGTATGCTAATAAATGTTCAACTGTCGCTAAACTTTCCTTGTCTAATATTATTAATTTAATTTCTTTGAATTTTAAATTGTGAACAAAAACGTAACAGAATGTTATTCTGATTAAAGAAACTGTTCGTGTATTAATTTAATATGGTTCATAAGTTTTAATAAGTTATTGTTATTTTTAATGCTTGCTTGGTTGTCTATCCAGTAAAGCATAATAGAAATGCACGGCTCCATTTGTCACTGTTGGGGAATAGTTGCTATACTCCTACAGTTTTTATTAAGCTTGCCATTTTCATTTGAACGAACATAACTATTTATGTTCGTTCAAATTGTGTAACACGAAGAAGAGGAGTTCAACAGAACTAACAAACGATGAAGATATTGAACACAATTCTCTTGATTACATAAAATATTCATCACAATTGTTTTAAATAATGAAACAAAATTAAACAGGCAGTAAGGTCTTGTTGACAGTTTTTGAAGCAGCAACATAAAAAATTTTTGAGAAAAACTGAAGTCCTCTTTGCCCACCTGGAACATAACTAACAATGTACCTGGAGTGATATATGACATGATGATGCTTGCATGCAATTGGACTGCAGTGATTGACAGAAAATAGCAAATAAAGGTTTTATTAAAAGTATAGATATAGAATAGTAACACGCAAGCAGCTCCGCGTTTGAGAGAGCTGCTTTATAAAGATTAAAAAAAATGAAAACATTCTCACCATAACAATGCAACAACTTGCAGGATACCAAATATAACAGTCATGACTGCACTTTGAACCTGGAGGCGGGATTTGATTCAACTTTACAGTTGAAACAACTCTTTTAACAAAGTTGATTGTAATTCATTTTTAAAAAAATGTTTTAGAAGTTTCAATTTACCGATAAAGAAAAGTACAGTGTGCCAATCATTGTGGTAAAATAAGCAGTCGTAAATGGAAGTCGTGAAGGTGATAGCAGATGTTTGATGTGGTTCATTGGACCCCATAGCATTGAGAAACTACATTATTTAGTCAAGAAGTAAAAAAAAACATCAATCATGCAATTTGTGATTGATAATTATAATTATCGAGTACATAATATAGCTAATTATTAGTTACTAATTTAATATCAATATGAGTTAATAAAAATAATTTATTACCTGAATATTATGAACAAACTTCCCAAGCTATACAGCATGGCAAATTTTCTGGCTTTCAAAATTAAAAATGGAATGTACAAGCTAGCCTAAAATTAAACATAAAAAACATTTCAAACTGAAGCACATAGCATTAACTAAAAGTAATAAGTTAATTGATTTGTATTTTGTAATGATACCAACTAATGATATACACAATGTTCCCATGAGCAGACATAAAAAGAAACCAATAACTCTTTGTTTTTTACTCTGAGGATCAAATTTTAATTTTATGTTGATTAATTAACAAATATATGCAAACATTCTATCAAATATTATAATTTAAATAAATGTACTATTAATATTAATAATTAATGTTAATATAATTTTAAAAATCTTAATTTTTAATAAATTATAATTATGATCAACTAAAAAACCATGGATGGGAAACAAGGGTCTTTCTGTGCTTCATTGAACCAACCATTTGCCAAGTCTTCTGCATTTTGTTGCTGTTGTAGGTGGTCTGAATCGGAGTGACCTGCCTTCTTCCTGCCGAACCAACTAAACATCAATTGTGAAGAAATGTCAGATGAAGAACCATTCTCATTTTTTAAAAGACTGTTGGCACTGTTTGATTTCTTCAAGTAATCCTTCAATTGTGCCGATAGACCGGAAGACATAATACAACTGATTAATTTATTAATAAATAAATAAAATTACAGTCGGCTATTTGTATAAGATAGAAACGTACGTATGTTACGTTACGTTCATTTTTAAAAGATGTTTATTTATTTACTGGTTGTTTACAAATACAATTGTTGGCCAGATAAGTTCTATATCAATTTCTATAAGAGGAAACATCAAATTGCCATTCCTTTTTTGTATTAACCTCAGAACCTCAACATTTTTTTTACTATTCTCTAAAAAATCAGAATCTAACAGACGCAGAAACTGTTACAGCATTCAAGGCAGTAGTATAAAATTGATAAATAAATTAATTAATAAAAACGGAGAAAGAAAATGTTCAAACATAAAAATCTAACCTGAGGAAACATAGGAACAATGAGAACATAATTTTGGAATAGATTTAAAAAAATTGCTGCATGCATATTTTGATTTATTTTTTATACATGGATATATAATATATATTATATATACTCCATCTCAATTCTTATCGTAAAACTTTATGGCCCTTTTGAGAATATTATATAGGCCAGTGCTTGGTATCCTAGCTAACTTAATAAACATAAAAATAATGTAAACATTTAAAATGGTAAAGAAATTTGAAAAATAAGATGCATTTTTTGTCGACGCGCGTTTACTTTTTTTTATACTTTTATGTCCTATTCCGATTAATAATATCTTAGTTTGAGTTTTCATTCATCTTCCAAACAATCTTTTAAAAGTTCTACTCTTAGCCCTGTGGAGTAGGGAGCCTTCTCAATTTTGTTGGATCAGCAAGGTAAAACTTTTTAATTAAAGAACTGAAAATTAAATTTTATATAAAATTATTAATTTTAATTTTTAATAGTTCGATTAATAAATTAATTGTTTATTTAAATTATTGTTTAATTAAATTTGATTAACCAGATTAACAATTAACTGTTAATCTCAAATCAAATCTATTGGTTTGTTTTGTTTATTAGGTTAGTTAATGAAAAATATGAGAAGATAAAAATTAATTCAGATAAAAAATAATTTAGATGAAATTGTGATCCATTGTAACGTGATTGTGTTATTTTATATTTACATTTATATGTTAATTATATATTGTTTATTTTAATATTATATTATATTATTTATTATAATATAATATTAATTATATTTGACTTTTTGTCTTGATTTGGTTTTTCTAGCATATATTTTTGAATAAATTAAATTAAATGTTATTGAACTGGTTTTGTGTCTCCGTTATTTGACAAATTGAAGCAGATAAATTTTAATAGTCAATTTAAATTTATTCATTTAGCAAATATTTTTGTATTTTTTATGGCATTCAACAAAATTAAGTTTCTATTGATTTAAGTATTATATTATAAAATTGATTATTCTCATAAAATATAACTATTATAACTAATCCTATTATAAAATATAACTAATACTGAATTAAAAAGAAATGATACATATTTGCACATGTTTTAATGCACATCTTTAAACATGTTTAAACATTATTAGCTACACATGAGCTATTTTTATCCTAAATTACGAAATGTAAACATTGGGTAAAAATAAACATGCCTATGCAAATACTACTTTAATATAACTGTTTTTAAGTTAAAAAATGAATAAACATACTGAAATAGTGCCAAAAATAAATTCCATTGTCTGAGTGTGCTTATAGTTTTGTGCTTAGCTCAATAAAAGCCGTTGTCAGTAGCATGGTCTGATTTGAGTTTCTTGCTTTTGTGTTTTTCTGCCTTTCAAATACGTCTAAAATTTCAAATTTGTTTGAATTTTAATTAAGATTTTCAAACCTTTAGAAATGTTTTCAATCCCCCAATGAATTGGATACTGTAAATTATATCTTCTACAATGTATTCAGCTTTAACTAAACATATCTTCAATAAAGGCATCTTTAAGACTCAACAAAAAAATGCTACAAAAAGTAACAAAGTTTTTTCTGCAAGACATATAATAAAAAAATATATTTATTCATTTATTTGAATGTTTTCTGATTGTTTTGCAAACGTAACAAAATATTTTACATTGTTTTGGTACTTAACTTTGAATAATCACAAAAAATGTCTTAGCACCTCAGCCATTTTTTTCAGTGAAGGCAAAAAGTATTTTTTTACTCATTTTAATGTTATAAAAGATAC